CTCATCTCTTCAAGTTCTTCCCACGCAACATGGACACCATCCTGCTGGGTTCTCTGTCACCTTTTTCTTGAGACAGAGTTTTACCATGTTGCCCTTAGTAGAGTGCCATGGGGTCACAGCTCACAGCAACCTCAAACTCTTGGGCTTAAGTGATTCTTTTGCCTCAGTCTCCCAAGTAGCTGAGACTACAGGCACCCACCACAACGCCTGGCTATTTTTTTGTTGTAGTTGTCATTATTTTAGCTGGCCAGGGCCAGGTTCGAACGCGCCAGCCCCCGGTGTATGTTGCCAGTGCCCTAACCACTGAGGGTTAGGGTTAGGGTCCTAGGCCTCTGTCACTTTTCTGTAGTTGACATCATGCTGTTTCTCATTTCCATCTGAGGCCCTCCTTTCATGTCTGTTTCCACTAATGCTGTCACAATGCCGTGTATTTTCTGAAGTGATGGGAGCTCTCTTGAGCCCTCACCCAAGAGCCTTTACTGTGTTTCTATCAACAGTCTCCTAGCCAATCTCGGTTTTTACTGTCATGCTCTTGAAATTCTTCAAGCTTTCTAGCTGTAACTCAATTCCAGAGCTGCTTCTGGTTTTTAGGTGTTTGTTACACCACCACCCTCATCCTGGTGCCAACATCTATTCATTTCTGTGACTGCTATGTGGCTTTAAAACAACAGAAATAGATTATTTTAATTTGGGAGGTGGAAAGTCCAAGAGCATGGTATTTACAGGGCCTGGCTGTCACTGTCAGTGAGATTGTCCCCTTCTTTCCCTAGCTTTTGCTGTTCCCTGGTGATCCTTGGAATTGCTTGGCTTATGGCTGCACAACTCCTGCCTCTGCTTCTTTCTTCACAGGGCCTGCTCCCTGTGTGCCTGTCTTAATGTCATCTTTCCCTTTCTCAAGAGTACCGTGGATTTGAGCCCACCCTATCCCCGTGTGACCTCATCTTAATGACTTATATCTGCATTGATCTTGTTTCATGCAAGGTCCCATTCCAAGGTCAGGGGATGGTGGGGCAGGTTCCAACATGGATGGACCTTGAGGGTACAACTTAATTCACAGCAATGCCCATTGCTGTCCCACACAGCTGTGGAGGTGGAGCCAGAACCTGTCTGTGTCTGTCACTGCCACCTGCCTTCTGGGGCAGGGGGAGCAGATCTGGAAAGCCTGTGACCTGAGCCTCATACTGCTGGGCCTGGCCAGGACCCACTAGGTTGCTAATACTGACCCCAGACCTCTGCAGGCCATGCGGACCCTCAGCTGGAAGCACACCCTGGGCCTGGTGACCATGGATGTGGAGCTGGCTGACCGCACTCTGTCTGTGGCGGTGACCCCGGTGCAGGCAGTGGTCTTGCTGTACTTTCAGGACCAAGGTGAGCCCACATCCCCCAGGGACAGTGCCGGGTACCGCTCTGTCCACCTGGGGCAGCCCCACGCCAGCAAGCAGTGCCTCTGTCCCTCCTACAGGGCTGGAATAGGGGGTGGGCAGCTGCTTACTTGTCTGCCCAGCGTTCTTGGCCTCTCTACACGCAGCCAGCTGGACCCTGGAAGAGCTGAGCAAGGTGGTGAAGATGCCTGTGGCTCTGCTGCGGCGACGCATGTCTGTATGGCTGCAGCAGGGCGTGCTGCGTGAGGAGCCACCTGGGACTTTCTCTGTTATCGAGGAGGAGCGGCCCCAGGACCGAGACAACATGGTGCTTGTTGACAGTGATGAAGAAAGTGACTCAGGCATGGCCTCCCAGGCTGACCAGAAGGAGGAGGAACTGCTGGTACGTGCTGTTGGCCCCACAAGGGGGTGGGGGCTAGCCTGGCTCAGGTCCAGCAGCAGGTCCAGCAGCAGTCCCAGCAGTGGCTTGACTGATGGTTGGCCTGACCACTGTCCCCAGCTCTTCTGGACCTACATCCAGGCCATGCTGACCAACCTGGAGAGCCTGTCCCTTGAGCGCATCTACAGCATGCTCCGCATGTTCGTGATGACTGGCCCAGCACTGGCCGAGATTGACCTGCACGAGCTCCAGGGCTACCTGCAGAAGAAGGTGCGGGACCAGCAGCTCATCTACTCTGCTGGTGTCTACCGCCTGCCCAAGAACTGCAGCTGATGCCCCTACCCCACCAGGCCCTGCTTTGCAAGCACTCAGATTCTCCCGTGCAATCCCCAGCTTGTATGTCCCCTGGATAGTCCAGGAACACTCTTTCCCCAGCCCCCAGAGTGTGCAGATTAAAGCAGGTCACTTTAGCCTTTCCCTGTCCTGTTAGCTTAGAACGTAGACACATCCACATTCTCCCTCTAGACAGGCATTTTCACCACAGCCTGGCAGGGCCTGGGTCCCCAGAAGCAGGCAAGAGGAGCCATCTGGGCAGCCAGGTCCATCTCAGGCCTGCACATCTGTGGGTTGTAACCTGAAGGTGTCCTAGGCCACCCCCAGCTCTGGTGCTGAGGCTTCAGCCTATGAAGGCTTATGTCTGGACCCACAGCTCAGGCAGCAGCATCCCAGGGGTTGGCTGCCACCCATTGGACCCCCAGCTCTACCCTTGCTTCTCTGGTCTTTGAAAGGAACTCTTGGGTTACCCTCCCCTGAACAGCCTGTGTCATCCCCCATGTGCCAGGCTAGGAGGGTGTGGGGACAATGTGTGGACACTTGTCAGAACATCCGAGGCACACAAGTGTCCTCCTGAGCCTGTGGCTCCACTAGCAAGTGCCCTGGTGCCAGAGGGGCTTGGCTTCGTCCTCCTGTTGCAGACTCCCAACCTCACAAGTGTGCCTCAGGATGGCAGGTCAGCGCCATGTCCCCGTGCTGTGGTCACCGGAACTTGACAAAGGCAAGGCTTAGAGGAAGAGCTCAGTGAGCGGTCTTTCTCTGTCCCCAGCACAGCCGATGGAGCCCACCTTGTTCAGGCCACCAGGATCCTGACTCTTGTGGGGCAAGTCCTATCTAAAGGGCCAGAATCTGGGAGCCCCCCCCCCCACACACACACACTGCTTTCCCCTGAAGGCTACACCAGCCTGAGGCACTTCAAAGCCAAATGGGCATGTGCAGGTTGGGCTCTGCGCTTGTTGCTGGGACACGGGCCTCTGTTCCAAAGGTGCCGATTCAGCCTGACAGTTCTGTCCTTGCTGGGAACAGAGGCCTCCAGTGTCTTGTTCCTGCCTGGGGTGCCTTCCCAGGTCATGAGCCACACCCAGCTTCAGTGCCCTCCCTGTCCCCACTTGCCCTTCCTGGTGTCCACTGTGTGCTATCCTGGGTCCCTGGAGCCACCACCCAGCTCCCACCCTGCTGTTCCAGCTGTGGCCTGTTTGAGGCAGTCCTGCATCAAGTCCTTCTTCCCCTAGAGGATTGTTTGTCTCAGGGTTTGAAGGAGGAAGTAGCAGTGTACCCTCAGAATTATCTGTGGTTTCTGACCAACCAAGACAACTTGTCCCAGGCACCCAGGCCTCTCTCCCCACCAGCTCACGTCTTCACTCCAGGGCTGTCTTTGTGCTGCTATCACAAAAAGAGGGACCTCCTTTTCCTCTGAGTTATGTTTTTTTTGTTGTTATTTTTTTGAGACAGAGTCTCATGCTGTCACCCTGGGTAGAGTGCTGTGGTGTCACAGCTCACAGCAACCTCAAACTCTTGGGCTCAAGTAATTGTCTTGCTTCAGCCTCCCAAGTAGCTGGAACTATAGGTGCAACCACCACAATGTCCAGCTATTTTTTTTTTTTTTTTTTTGGTTGTAGTTGTCGTTTGGCAGGCCCAGGCTGGATTCAAACCCACCAACTCCGGTGTAGGTGGCTTGGTGCTGTAGCCATTGAGCTATGGGCGCTGAGCCCCTCTGAGTTGTGTGTTAACCCTGGCTAGGGACCCTGACTGCTCCAGCACCCACCATTTCCTCCAGCAGTGGCCTTGTCAGGATCTTACCGTCCAGAGCACCACCTGGTCCCGGACTCTGTGAACCACTGTTCTAAACAGGATGCAAACCTGCTGGTCTGGTCTGTCAGGATGTTGGTGCCAGCCTTGGCCCTGGGCACACCCTTTGTTCTGTGTTCCTTTGGGTTCCGTCTCTAGACTCGTCCTAAAGCCCAAGGTGTGCCTTAGATCACACTGTTACTCATTTCACAGAAAGACTGTGCCCTTTTCTCTGAGGGTTGCTGCTGGTTGGTACCAAAAAACTTAAGGAGGGTACCAGTATCCGGGGAGGAGGGAGGTGTCTGTGGTGACCAAGGCTGGTGGGGCCCTAGCTGGCAGGAGGCTCAGCCCAAGTCAGCTCTGGAATGGACTTCCTCTTGCGCTGTGGTGGCTAAGGAGGCTGCAAGGCTGGACACTACTGTTAGTCAACCCTGACTGCCAGCCTGCAGTGGGCTTCTGAGAACCTGCTCTGCTGAAGAATAGGCCTGCAGGGGTAGCAGATTTCTTTTGGATGGTGCCTACTGCCATTTCTGAGCCATCTGCTCCCAGAAGGGGATGATCTAGGGAGGCCATGGCCTGTGGTCCTGCTCAGGCAGGTGTGGCCAGTGCCTCCTGACCCTTCCTGGGTGATCCAGGATTCCCTGGGGTGCCAGCACCCCTTCTGACCTGACCTGAGCTGTGCTGGGAATGTGAGCTGGACCCTCCCTAAGCAATCAGTGAGGGTGGCTGGGCAAGGCCACTCCCTTGGTCCCTTCCTGCCCCAGCCCTGGGGGGTGGGCGTGGCACAGTCAGTTGGAGCTCAGACCTCCTCTTGAACCTCTGTACCCTTATGCTGAGAGAGGGAACTCCGGGATAGAATCTCTCCCACACCCGGGGCTAGATTGCAGCCCCACCCCTCACGAGGAAGGACCATTTCCCTAAGGCTGAGCCGGCCTCACCATTGTTTCCCCTACCTGCCCAGGACTCCTTGACTCCCAGGGCCAAAGAGTAAGTGAAGCTCATGCTGGCCTCAGGCCCTCTGTGGCCCTGCCCCCACCCTTGCCACCTAACAACCTACTGTGAGGTCAGTGCCTTCCGACAGCTCCATCAGAGGCGTGCGGTGGTGCCAGGGGCTGGACATGGCCCCCTGTCCCCAGTCTGCCCCCTGCCTGATTGGCAGCCCCCTAGGCCTCATATGTTTGTCCCTTTTGCTCACCCCTGCTGCAGGTGCCTCCTCCTGCCCCAGCACCCCTGTCCCCAGCCAAGGCCCCTCCCTTTCCTAGGTCAGGTGGGGGCACCCATGTCCTTGTGGTGGCCAATGGGGCAGGGGTGGACCTAGGGTGCTCCACAGGCAGGTGATGCCCCCTGGGCCACATGAACCTGTCTCTGCAGCTGGAACCTACTGTGAATGCAGCCTTGGCCTCAGCCGTGAGGCCCTGATTGCCCTGATCGTCGTGCTGGCGGGTGTCAGCGCCACCTGCTTCTCCGCCCTTGTCATTGTGGCAATTGGTGTCATGCGAGCCAAGGGGTGCGTGAGTCCCAGGGCTAGGAGTGGTGGGAGTGAGACCATGCTGCCCATTCTGGGCCCTGCCACAAGGGGCTTGTGCCCCTTGGGTGGGTCGTCACTCAGGACTGGGAGTGGGTGGTTTCCAGGGTGTGTTGGGGAGAGGAGGAGGGGGTGGCCAGCAGGGTTCCAGGACTCACACCTGCCTCTGTCCCCTCAGTGAAACCATAGGCCCGGAACACACGGACAACAGGTGAGTGTGGCACAGGGCCTCAAGGGTGAGCCGTGTCTCCCCTGCCCCTACCCAGGAAGTGCAATTCATACAGCCCTGTGCCGATTACTGGCCTGCCCTGGTGGTCAAGGCTCTGCCGGTCAGTGCTGACCTGGCCCATGTTGTGCAGGTTGGTGGGGCATTTCGGGGTCCAGGAAGATCAAATGGACCTGCGCACAGTGCACGTGGAGTCTCACCTCCTGGACCCTGACCTGGAGGTGTCTACAATGCCGCCCCTGGAGGACCACAGCCTCGGGAATATCTCCATGGAGGCTTCTCTAGAGGAGCCACCGCCTCCACTTCCACCCCTGCCACCCCTGCCACCTGAGGAGGGCTGAGGGCAGCTGGGAAGGGATTAAATAATATTTGGTGGCTGTGGCTGTCTTCCCTGCTGGCTCCCCATAGTCCACCAAGGCTGCACCATGGGGTGGGGGGAGACACACATATGGGGACCTTCGCTGTCAGTGGAAGGAGGGGTGCCCAGGCCCTCCACCAAACTGCCCTGGGACCCCACATCAGGAGACCACATCCCTGATGTTTCCACTGCCTCCTGCCAGAGCTGGTCAGCCCAGCCTGTCCCTGCACTTTCCTGCTGTTTCGTCCCATGAAGCTGTGAGGGATCCTGGGCCTCTATCCACTCTCACTTTTGGAAAACCCCAAGACAGGATCTGAAGTTGGCAATTCCAAAGGGAGCAGCCTTCGACAGACTGGGGCTGATGCCAGGTCCCCACTGCACTCACACACTCCCTTTGAAGGGGACGGCAGAGGGCAGGCAGAACTTCCCCTGCCAGTTAGTGCAGTGCCTCTTCCTCCTCAAGGCCTGTGTCTTGAGCTCAGCCCACCATTATCTACCCTTGGTCGATCCATTATCTTGGATCAGCCACCATTATCTACCCTTCAAATTTGGGACCGTCCCTGCCTAGGGGCCACCCTGCCAAGTCCGAGTGGGGCCGTAGCTGGGTGAGGAGCAGGTGCACGGGTGGTGTGTATATCTGTGTGTTTTGCATCCAAGAGTTCGTGGGTGCGGTCAGGTGTGGTTCTGCTGCTTAGGTCTCAGCCTGGTGGTGAACAAGGTGAGCCAGGGGTGGTCTTGACAGTGCTGCGGTGTGCGCTGAGCGGACAGGAGCCCAGCGCTCCGGGACTGATTGATGCAATGCCAGGCGTTGGCTTTGTGCCCGGCCCCCGCCCCAGGCGCGGGACCAGCTGTGGGACAGGAACTGCCTGCGCTCGGGCCAGAGTTAATATTTATGCAGGCGCCGCAAGAACGGGCTCCCCGACGTACGGCACCAGGCCTCCCGCCGCAGGTCCTAGAGCTGCTCCCATGATGATCCCTTTTTTCTTCCGGCCTCTGCCATTATTGCTGCTGCTGCTGCTGTCGCCTTGGCCAGGCTGGACCCAAGCGCCAGCCACGGCCTTGCCCTGGGTTACCCGGGGCGACCTGGACTGCCCAGAGGGGTGCGCGTGCGCGCCTGGCGGCCGGGCCAACTGCTCGGCCCTTGCGCTGCACGCTGTACCAGAAGGCATGAACCGGCGCGTGCGCGAGCTGCTGCTGGACCACAACTGCTTGCGCGCGCTGCCGCCTGGTGCCTTCGCGGGCGCGGGCGCGTTGCTGCGCCTGGACCTGCGCGACAACGGGCTGCGCTCCGTGCACGTGCGGGCCTTCTGGGGTCTGGGTGCGCTGCAGTATCTTGACCTGAGCGCCAATCAGCTGGAAGTGCTGGCACCCGGCACGTTTGCGCCGCTACGCGCGCTGCGCACCCTTTCGCTGGCCGGCAACCGACTAGCGCGCCTAGAGCCTGCGGTGCTGAGTGCGCTCCCGCTACTGCGCGCACTCAACTTGCAGGACAACGCGCTGGCGGCGCTCGCACCAGGCCTACTGGCCGGCCTGCCTGCCCTAGATTCGCTGCGCCTGCGCGGCAATCCCTGGGCATGCGGCTGCGCGCTGCGTCCACTGTGCACCTGGTTGCACCGGCATCCGTCGCCAGCATCAGGTGAGCTGTCGGGGGCACAGGCCCAGACCCTCCAGGCGGGACCTCAGCCGCCACCTGACGCCGCGCCCGTGTCTCATAGAGGCCGAGACGCTGCTCTGCATGTCGCCTCGGCGCCTGACACTCAGCCCCCTGACCGCCTTGCCCGACACCGCCTTCAGCCATTGCGCGCAGCCGCTCGCCCCGCGGGACCTGGCCGTGGTCTACGCGATCGGGCCTGCCTCTTTCCTCGCCAGCCTGGCCGCCTGCCTAGCGCTGGGCTCCGTCCTCACTGCCTGCCGTGCTCGCCGCCGCCGCCGCACCGCCGCCTGCCGCCCGCCGCGGAGTCTGCGGGACCCCGACCCCCACGGCCCTCCCTCGCCCGCGGATCCTACCAGTCCCGCTGCCGCACCTGCCGAAGCTTGAGCAGGCTGTGGCTGCTCCGGGCGCCAGAAACTACCCCCATCCCTTGGCTTTCCCTTCACACTCTCTGCCGGCGTACCAACAAGCGACACAGACCGAAAATCTTGTGACATTCCTTTAGGCATCACCACTGCACACACCGGGTTGGGGGCGAGGGTTGGAGCGCGGCTGCACACGGGCCGCACGGGAAGGCACGCGCCCGGGCACTGGGAGGGCTGGTCCTACGAGGAAATGGCGGGTGGGTCACACACCCCAGCGAAGGGGAGGGCAGGCGGGCGGGTGGCGCTCTCCCGTGCCCTAGGTGCGAGGCAGGGTTGAAGACAGTCCCCAACCAGCGTCTGGGGAAGCCCATCCTGGGCTGCAGGCCGGACGAGAAGAGCAGGGCTTGACCCTCTCGAGTCTGGAGGAGTAGGCCCCAGGCGGCCAGCTGGGGAGCCAGGGATGGCGGTGGGAGAAGGGCAGGGCCAGCCCCGGCCCGCAGGGTCCAGGGGGAGATGGGGCGTGGGTGGGGTGCAGCGGGAAGAGGAGAGGGCAGAGCTCAGGGTGCCGTGGAGGGCGGCCAGGCCAGCTGAGGCCATGGCCCTCGCTGTGGCTCAGGGCCCCTGCGCCTGGGGCCCGTCAGCCCCCTCTCCCCACTGCTCAGAGACCCGAGGGCCCTGCCTCTGCCGGAGCGCCCTGTGGCCCTGCCCAGCCGGCTCAGCTCTGACCCGTCCTTAGCCGCTCGGTCCGCACCTTGGTCCGGCAGGAGCTGCCTGCCAGGCAGTAGGGCGGGTGGGCAGACAGACCGGAGGCCCAGGGTGGGCAGTCTCTGGGGCGGGTGGGCTTCCCTCAGGCCTTCCCGAGCAGCAGGACCCATCAGTGTCCTTGGCCGGGCTAACTGGGCAGGTGGGCGCCTCCGGGGGCCTCACACCACGGTGCTGACCGAGGGATCTGAGAGGTTGAGCGGGCCCGTGATATCAGTGGGATGATACTGCTGTAAAATAGAAATACACAGACAAAGCGCCCGTTAGCCCCGACGCCGGGGGCACGTGGGGGGCCATGACGGGGTGGACCGGCCAGCCGGCCAACCGACGGGTGGGCGGGCGCGGCCTGGGGGAGGCTGGAGATGTTCCTCCCCGACCCCGTGGTGCTCCGGGGCTCTGCGTGGGCCGGGCCGCTCTCCCGTCCGTCTGTCTGTCTGCGGGGGAGGGGGCAGAGGAGGGCGGGCGGGGCGTCTCAGCTCTCCCTATGACGGGAACACAGCTGCAGCTGGCCCTCCTCCCTCTCAATAGCGCGTCGCGGCAGCACTGTGTCTTTTTGGTTTTGCAAAGCGCCGCGTCCACCCCCGGTGCTCTATAAATAAGAACCAACAATCAATACCCGCTGGCCCCGCCGGCCGCCAGGGACCCCAGCCCTCAGCGCCCAGTGTGGCCCTGGCCCAGGTGGGCCACAGGACAGGGGCAGAGGATCTCAGCAGCCAGACCGACCCCACCCTGCCCAAAGGAGTCCCCCCACCCAGGCCTCCCTCTGAACAGGAGCCTGGCCCCAGAGACAGTAGGAGTTGGGCTGCCCTCCCCGGCCCAGCTCCCCAGCTGCCAGTGCCCTGCAGTCAACCCTGCAGGGTGGGGGCGGCCCCAGATGCCATGTGGTACCCAGGGAGGCTCAGGTGAGGATTCCGCTGGGAAAGGGTCCCTGGAAGGGTGCCATGAGGGTGTATGAGCTGCACCCGCACCAGCTCCAGCCTCTGAAAGCCGCCACCGCCTGCACATATTTGGCTGCCTGCTCCCCAGTTGCTCCTCCTGTCTGCCAGGAGACCATCCCTTTCCACAGTCCTCTCAGCCAAGTTAGCCTCCCTCCATCTGTCCTGGGTCCCTTAGCAGGACTCCTGACTCAGAATTTGCAGCACAGACTCTGCTCACTTTCCTGAGCCTGAGGGGTCCTGGGGAATGTGCCTCTGCCTGCTCCTTGAACTTCAGCTGCTCCCAGCCCCACAGACCCTCACTTCCCCCTCCTCACTCCTCCTCATGCCCTGCCCAGGAAACTGAGTAGCCAGGCTTCACAGGTCCCTCTTGGGGTACCCTGGGGATTTGCCTTAGGCTTGGGTGGCTCTATGCCAAGTCCTGTCTGAGCCCTGGAAGTCTGCCCTTTTCCCCAAGTGTGGAGGTGCAGGGCTGTAAAGCCCACTGTGTTCCTGGGCATAAGCCCCTGTGGGCTGGAAGTCAAGTTGGCCCCTGGGCTACAGGGTGGCCACTGGTCTGAGGCCTGTATTGGCTCTCTGGACAGCCTCCCTACCCCGTGCTGTCTTGGACCACAGTGCCTCTAGCAAGGCTGGGTCTGTTCTGGGAGCCTTTGGTCCAAGTAAGCACATGCAGTGCCACACATGGTGCCCAAGCAAGGGGCAGGGGGATTCTAGGCTCAAAGAGGGAGAAACCCTGGCTCTGACACTCCCTAAGGGAGTGGATAGCTGAGGGTCAGGAGCTGAGGTGCTGGTCTTTTCCTCCAAGGCCTCCCCTTCCTGGGCCCCTATCTGGAAACCTTGGTGTCATCCTGAGCGCTGCACACCAGGTTTTGTGGGGTGACCCCTGCCTGTCCTCAGACTCTCTGGGAGCTGCCGCCATACCTCCTGCAGGGCCCCTGCTCAGCCTAAGGTGAGAGTTACCCCTCTGGTCCCAGGTTCCACCCTGTTCCCTGCCTAACAGTCCCTTGTGGCCAGGGGCCAGTTCCAACTCCAGGCCCCAGCCATCCACCCAGATGGACCCAGGCCCAGCCCCCAGCCCCCGGCCCACACAGAGACCACATGGAAGATGCAACACGCATGGCTCTGGTGAGACAGGTGAGACAGGTGTCTGGGGGGTGGGGCTGGCGGCCAGACAGACGGACGGGATGGGACATCACAGCCACCCCTCCAGGGCCGTCGCAGGGAGGGAGTGAGGGCGGCGGGCCCCTCTGGGAGAGGCAAGAGAAACGGACGTAACAGAGAGGTGGTATGGCCTCCCAGCAGGGATCGGGCCACTATGGGCTCCCAGGGCCCCAGATGTGGCCCAGAGAGGCAGTGAGGCTGACTGACTGACCAACAACATGACAGGCTTCAAGATGGCGTGTGGGTCATGGCAGGGGGAGGCAGGGCGAGGTGGGTGGGTAGACTAACGGAGACACACGGGGAAAGCCAAGGACCCAGTGCAGGTCAGGGGAAGGCTTGAGAGTCAGAGAGAACAGCACCAGGCGTGCTGGGCAGAGGCTGCCTCAGTGGAGATGCAAGGCAGAAGGGGCCTTAGGAGTCAAGGTGGGGCGAGGTGGGATGGTGAGGGAGTGGGAGACAGACACGGAGGGGCGGAGGAGCGAGGGAGGAATTGGAGACGTGGGACTGGGGTGCTCTCCCCCTTACCGTGTCTTTGGAGGACCTACGTCTCTTGAAGCTGGAAGCCAGGGTGGAGGTGATAGCCCTAAATGTGGCTTTCTTTTTAGGGTCAGGCTCTGCTCTACCACTCTTTCTATCCTAAAATGAATATGTATAAGTGATTAGATGGCTAAGGGTGGTGGCCACACCTGCCCTCGCCTGCTCCTTGGTGGGCCGCTGCCCGGCCTGGCCGGCCACTCAGGCCCTCACTCCTGCCTGCCTCCCTGTGCTGGATAGATGGGCCGACAGCTGGACATTTGAGAGTGGCCTCTTCTCCTGTCCGGGGCCTCAGGTCTGACTGTGCTTGTGCTGGGGTTGGGCGTGGGGAGTCCCAGCTGGGTCTCTTCCTGGGAGGTCTGCCTGGCTCCCTGGCTCCGGGGTGGCCCTGGATTACAGATGTCCCAAGGAGGAGGAGCCCTCCAAGGACAGGAGGAGTTGCCCCTCAGGCAGCGCCAGCCATTCTTCAAGGAGGCCACTGTGCCCCAAGGGGACATACACCAAGAATCAGAAAGGGGCCGAGGGGCCGAAGGAAGGCAGGTGTCGAGATGGAATTGGAGCAGTAGAAAGAGGCAGCTCCCAGGACTCTGGCCTCAGGTCTGATGGCCAGGACAGCCTGGGCCCACCAATGGCAGCAGCAGCCAGGTCCCCAGGGGACCTGTGGGGCCAAGAGCAAGAATGGGAGGATGAGTGGTGTAGGGGCTCCAGCAATCCCCAGCCCCTACCACCTTGCTGCACTGCCAGCTTCTTGTCCAGATACAGGCTCCAGGAAAGCACCCAGAGAAAGAGAAGAGATGGAGTGAACCAGAGCTTGACCATGGGCCACGAGCCCTCAAGGCCTGCCCAGGCCTCACAACCCACCCTGGTCCCAGGTGGGTTGTGGCTGCCCCTGCCGGCGGCAAATTCCCATGGACACACAGTCTGGGGCACCAGGTAAGGCCAGGCCTGGCCCGATTAGGATTGGAGTCACGGAGCACAAGGACATAGCAGGAAAAGGGGTCTCTGGAGGGTGTCCAGGGGAATTGGGGCGGCGGAGGGCAAAATGCATCTTGGACTCACATGCTATACACAGGTGGGCCCTGTCTTACCCTGCCTGCTTTCCTTCCTATGGAATGGGTACCAGCGGGCGACTCTGGAGACAGAGGGGCCAGCCGGAGGCTTGGAGCAGGGTGCATGGCCTCCCTCAGCCGGCTTTGCAGTGGGCAGCCATCTGCCGGCAGCCTCCCGCCAATGCTGCCCCTGTTTCCTAGGAACACTCACCACTGCCCCGGCCTTGGCTCCTAGCTCCAGTTCTGCCCATGGGAGCCAGAGCCAGTGCCACGGACTTCAGGGATGGAGGAGGGCTGTGGCCAGGCCGGGCCCTGGGCACCAGGCCTCAGAGGTGGCCTGCCCTACCTGTAGGTTCTTCCTCCACACGTTCACTGCTGCAAAGGCCAGCTGCATCTGCTTCCGGCGGGCGTCCTTGTGCCGCTTGTAGGCAATCTCAATGAAAATCAGGAAGATCCCGGCCACGATGCCCCCAGCCACCAGCATGAAGACCCCTGCATGCCAGGACCCAGAGCCTCAGGTGCCAGCCAGAGAGACCACAGTCCATGGCTAACCCACCTTGGTGTTAACGGATCCGCACCTGCCATATTCTCAAAAGTGAGGGTTGCAGGGGCGTTGCTGCGTGAGTCACATTCCTGGTACCGAACCCATGTCTTGTCCAAGTCTTCCATGAAGCCATTCTCATGGGACCTGAGGGTACAGGAGAACATGAGCCTGAAGTGGAATGGTGCCTTGAAGGGGCAGGGTGCCGTGGGTACAGGCCATGGTGGTCGGGGCCTGCAGTGGAGTGGCATGTTCATTGGGCAGTGCCTGGCCTGTGTGGGACATCCACAAGCTTGGGGTGGGGTCAGGTAGTGGGGCGAGGCTCTTAGACCTGGGTGGCTAAGGGCGGTGAGGATGCAGGCATACAGGCACACTCACTTGAGGATGGACAGGGAGACGTTCTGCTTCCAGGGGCTGTCCTTGCGCATGCCAATGCCAAAGCCCGAGCGGAAGAACAGCTCGCCCGTGGTCACCAGGTCGCACTTCTGCGAGGCCTCAAACTCCAGCACTGCGGAGTCCCAGATGAAGGCGTGCAGCTTGCTGCCGGCAGAGGTGGGGTCAGCAAGCCTGCTTGCCACCCTCCCTCCTGCCAGTCTGTCACCTTCCCATGGTCTCCAGCCTGGAGGCTCCCCTCACCCACTTTTCATGTATGGTGGACACCACCCTATTCCCTGCCCAGCCGAGCCGGCCTCCTGCATGCCCCTCACTTGTCCCTCACGGCCTGGATGGCCTCAGCTGCACTCTCATAGTTGTGCTTCTCCATGTGCCGATACATGGTACTCAGCTCCACCTGCCGCCGGAAGTAGATGTCCACTGAGCTCTGCTTCACAGTGGCGTAGATGAACTTATCTGAAGGGTTTCTTAGCTGCAGGGGTGGAGGGCGAGGCTCCTACCAGGCACTTCCCAGTCAACACCACCCTCCCTTCCAGCCGGTGGGGCCTCACCCGCGGGTCGTTGATGCCTGTAATGCGCTCCTCTGGCCGGTCCAGCACCAGAAAGGCTGCCAGGTTGGCAGTGTAGGAGGCCACGATGATCATGGCAAAGCCAGCCCACACCATACCCAGGATGCGCGCTGAGAAGCTTCGGGGGGCACCTGTGGGTAGAGGCTCAGTCAACTCCCCAACAGCAGAGGTGGAAGAGGACCGGCAGGGCATGGCCTTACCTTCCCCAATGCCTGAGTTGAGCAGGACGCCCCAGGAGAACCACATGGCTGAGGACAGGGTCAGCGCGTCCTCCTCCTCCTCCTCGCTGTTCACCTTGAACCGGCCGAAGGGGCTGCGGGTCGAGGGCAGGCAGGAGAAAGGGCAGGAGAGCTGGCCCTCCCTGGCTCCACCCGTCCTGCAGAGGGAGGCGTCTGAACCCCAGGCCGCGCTTACCTGAAGCGGTCCAGCAGGTAGAGCATCACGGCCACCACATGCACGGACAGCCCCACCAGCAGCCACAGGGTGCTCTGGAAGGGCTGCATGAACGAGTCCAGCGTGCTCCGGGGGATCTCCTGCAGGTGCGCAAGCAGTCAAGGCCGCTGGCCCTCCTAGGGCTCCACCCCCATCCTGGCCCCTGCACACCTTCTTGACCAAAATGGTCAGGCCCTGGTACTTGAACGGTTTGGAGAACTCAATGTACTGCGCGCGCTCATTGTTGATGGTCAGCGGCGCCACAATCATGTCCGCCTGCCCGCTGAGCAGCTCGCCCATCATCCCGTTCCACTCCTTCTTGTTGCTGTTGTTCACCTAAGGGGCAACAGGGCTGCTGGGGATGCAGAGAACGTCCGCCCCTCTCGCGCCAGAGGTACCAGCCCGGAGCAACCCTAGCGCATCACAGGGGGCCTCTGCTCCAGGCTGCCTCCTGCCTGCGCGCCTCACCAGCCCCAGGGCC